TCCTTGGCAGAAGTTCCCCATTTGGAAATGCTGGATTACAAGTAAGCTTATTCTTTATTGAAAGTTGCTTTATATTTACCGTTACATTCCTGTTTCCAAATCTTTTGAAGCCTTCCTAACTTCTCGCAGATATTGGATAGGAACTGGGGAGCTGGCTGGCACCTTTTATCTTTATTGCTTGCAACTAAACCTTCTCAAAGGATAAGGTATTCTATGAAGCAAAGTTGCTAGATGAACGTGTGTATAACTTCACCAGTCCTTCTCTATTGGGCTGAGATTATTTCTTGCACATATGTCAAGATTTTAGAAAGAAGAAACTGTAGTGAAGGAATTTCAGAAATAAAAAAGGTTACTGAGAAATGTTTTTCATGTTCCATTGTTATTTTAGGAGGCTTGATCTTTTGGCAATATTTAGCTAGTTTCTCAACACTCTACAAACTTAAATATAAATAACATTTAATTGTAGATACCAATTTCATTTGCCCGAGTTTAGAAATTATACCAGTGCTAAACATGTAAACATTTATACAGTTGTTTGGATGCCCTTAGACACCCATTTCTCTGTGGGCCAAGATGGCGAGTAGTCCCATCAATGGACATTATCAGATGGGGTCTGGGATCTACTGCAATGCGTATTACTGAGGAGTACATTTATCGCAAGCCTCAGGTATTCATCTAATCGATGCCCCTTATATGCAATAAATCCCTTCGTTGCCTTTTGAGTTCCTTGATGCTTGTATAACAGCTTTTATAATTGTTGGTGTCTGATGTCCTCAATTTTTTTCTAACTAATGTTTCTTTTCATCATATGTATAATCTGCTTTATGTCTTGATGTTAAAGTTTGTTTAACTTATTACATTACTAAAATGAGTACGATACATGAAACAAAGTTTGACTAATGGGAGTTTTCTATGGTTTAGCGCATCAGACTTGCGCATTTCATCGACTTAATGGAGATGTTGAATCCCCATCCAAAGCCAAAGGTAATTATTGATTAAAGTTTATTTTTCCTGAAATTGTTGTTTCTATTGTATTTTGCTTTAAAATAGTTCCATTTCTTTCGTCATTAATAGTGAAATAGTTAATTGCCCAAGATTCTTAGCCATTTCACGTGCACTTTTGCATACCATTTATTGAAGTTATAAGTGCAACTGAAGAAATCTCATATTATATAAGGATCAGTGAATTTAATAAATGTTCATAAAAAATTATCTTAATTTTTTTATCAATATTTATTCGACTTAAAAATCCAACTAGTCTTTCTAATTTTGTACCAATTTAATTAAAATTCAATTTTTTTTAAATAACGGATTGGTTTCTAGGTTTCCAATTGGAGTAGTTGAACTGTCCAATGTGGTCCGCTGATAAGAATGGACTAGTTAAGAAACATAAGTGGGAAGTACTCATGCACTTAAGCCTTCAGGTTTTAAATTGTAAACTTCACTTTGGCTTATTGATGGAAAACAGGTGAAGTCCCAGAGTTGGAATTTGGAGATTTAAGCCCTTTGCATGTCCTTTCCAACTTCTTGCGATTGCCATGTTCATTCCAATAATAGTAATTAGCTTTCACTATTTGGTATTACCTAGTTTTCCTATTAGTTGGAGGGATATAAACTTGATCTTAAAAGGTGTGATTTTTTTTTTATATTAAAAAAAATAGTTTACTGCTTATTCTAACTTGTGTCACTGTTGATGTCTGCAGAACTGGCTGGACCTACTTCCAGGCAAATGGCGTCTGTTATACTGCACTGGGAAGCATGTAGGCCTGACCCTTCGCCAACCACCTCTCCGTGTACTTGTTGGCGAAGTGCATTTAACAGTGACAAGAGAATCAAAATTTAAAGCTAATCTTTCATTTGACTCTGACATTGGATTCTCTGTGATGATTGGTCAGGACTGGCCTCTTGACAAAGCTGGTAAGAGTGGAAGATTGCAGGTGAATTCTTCATTTACACTAAGAGCTGGTAGACGGTTATATCTGAATCAAGACAAGACCACAGAGAAGTTCTTCTTTGGCCCTTCCAGCAATGTGGATGCTTTAGCTCAAAAATTTAAGGGCAAGAAATGGAGAAAAGTAATCCCTTTCAAGGAGTTTCCATCAAGTCTTCCGGCAGCCAAGCTTACATCAGGTGATATTGATGTGACAATAAATCTTGATGATCCATTAAATCGAAACATTTATACTGCGAAAAGTGTTCTGCAAGAACTAAGAACACAAATTCCCCCAGAAATGTTTGATTTGTCTAAGCTTGTATGTGGAACTTATGTGGACTCAAGGCTGCTTGTCCTACGAGGGGTTAATGGATCCGCGCTCCTATTTACAAGGTCTTTTATGGACAGAAACGGTTCTAGTTAGTTGTTGTGTAGGAGATTCAAAATTATTGTTTGACTGTATATTTTTCCTTGAATTGTATAGTTTGGTCCATTGTGATATCAATGAGCATTTCCTCCAACCTCAAGAAGTGGTCATCCCTTCTTATGTTTGATCGTCAAATATAAAAATTGTATATTTTTCAAGTAGTAGTGTTCTTGGTAAATAAATACTACTAGTTAAAAAATTGATAACAATGATAAGAAAAAAATAAGGATTAGTATCATATTTCTTGCTTTAGGGGGAATGCAGATGAATCTGTATGCGACTTCTAATTGTTACAGAGTTGTGTAGATAATTATTTTCATAAACACTTGTAAAAAAAAGAAAAATGAAATATATCTAATTCCAATTTTCATTCTTGACGTTTCCTTGAGACTTAATTGTGAAATTTTTAATACAATTACACCAATGAAAAATATTCTATTTATCTGCATAATTTAGAACAAATCTAGCAAGTATTTTATGATGATCTCGAATTTTAGTGTTTCACCGATGAATAAATTTCTAAAATCGACAATTGGGCTGTCCATTTTTCTTAAGATTTTAGATTTATGAAAAAAAATCAATAATAAGCCTTCAAACAGGTAAATCAAAAGTTCAAATTATGACCAAGTCTCATTAATTTTTATTTATTTTGAAAAATGTTATATTCAAGTTATCACTATCAATAAAAAAAGTTATATATCGCTCAAATATTAATAAAATTTTTGTTTAATTTATAGTGTTACAAAAATTCCAAGTTCGCCCTCCACCTTTATTCGCGGAATTAATATTAGAGAAACTTAAAACAAAAAAGGAAAGAAAAAAAAGGGTGTGAAGCATCATCTATGATAAATAACAGAAAACTCAAGAGAACAAAGTAAAAAAATGGTTAGAAAGTAAACATGAGATACAGAGCATACTGAAGTGAATGGTGTTAGCAGAATGACACAGATCTCATTCTACTTTGCACCTTTTCTTCAACATCTTAATATCACTTTGTCATTCAGAGAAAGGGAGTGTGGTGGTCCTATGATGACGAGGGAAAATCAAAGCTGCACGATTGTGGCAACCCAGCTAGTGTATAGACATTATTAACCAGGTATTTTCTTCCAACTGTGACACCAAGCAATCTTCATGTTGTTGTTCTTCTTATTTGTTCCTTTTGAATTTATCTCATAAACAAACAAATAGTTCCTAGCTTTAACAATTGATTGCTATAAGACTTTACTTTATGATTATTATTATGCAATCGGATCGTGTCGAGTAAGCCTTATGAAACAAACTTGATAATTGTACCCTCTTTCATTCACGCCCAGAAGAGTAAGAAAGTGTCCATGAATAATTGCCTTTATACAATAGCTAGGGTTCTTAGGCCATATAATAACAATGAAAAAGAAAAAACTCCTCAACTTAGATTATAATTTATAACTGTACTCTATTTTATGTATTGATTTTAATTTCAATAGATAAACTATTTTTTTATCCTAACATGATTGCGATTTTTTTTTAAATTTCAATTTAATTATGTTCTCAGTTTTCACATAGTTACTCTTTGTTCAATAAAAACAATATATTGATTAAAAAACTAGATGTTTTAGTAATTTTAGTTAATAATATTGTTGCATATTTATTGTTGTTTTTAGTCTGTATAAAAAAAGTTATCCTACAGTAATGAAAATAGTTTACTACCTTTAATACAAGTGGAGACCTTTTTCTAAAAGTTATTTATGCGAAAGTAATGTTCACAGGATCAATTCAAGTTAAAAACAATGTAAGTAAAAACGAAGAAATGTTTAAACTAAAAAAATGTTAATTTTACCCTTAAGAATTATCGTCTCTCTAAATAAAATTTTATATTTAAATCCTTAATAGAATATCTTCTCATTCAAATCAAGTGTAAGATCAAGTTGAAAATATTTGTTAATGTATCAGAAAAAATCTTTAATTTAATTTAGGTTTTAATACTTTAGAAATTAATTACGTAGCTTTTTTTTTTTTTTTACTTTAGAAATTACTAAGAGAAGGACTTTTCGTGGATGAAATTTATTCAAAAGATTTGCACTGACCTACCAAACAATTTAAATTTTCTAAATTGAATTTAAATCCTTTACTCATATTTTTCAATTACTAAATAAAGAGTATTTTTATGTTTTTAATTATATAATTTTAGTTCATTTAAAATACTAACACATCGTGGAGGAAAAAAAACATTTTTCTTTCAAATCAATTTTACATCATCTTGGTGCACAACACGTTTCATGAGCATTTTTTATAGAATAATACTGTAGAACATGAAAAATGTAGATGAAGGAAAAAATGGTTAACATTCATTTGAGAAAAAAAATAAGAGTAATAAAGGGTTATACATTTACAGAGACGCCAAGAGCCAAAAGCTATCAAATCTAGCTTTTATTAGAATTCCATGAATATCCAAAGAAAACCAAAAGGGTAAAAGGAAAACACTGAACTATGACTTTTTTTCTCTCTATGTTTTTTTTTTTTCTCTTCTTTTGGTTTGATAAAAATTACAGCTTTGGTGTAACTGTGAGATTCCCTGCACAATAAGGGGGATGGGGTTAGTGCTCCTTGCGGAGATGAAACAATACTTGTCATCTGATGTTCATTTCATTTGTATAATCCTTCCTAATTCATGAATTTCCGGCAGTTTGGAGCTTTACATAGGCAGGGGACTTTGAATTCATCTGGCTCGTCAGGATCAAACAAGTAGTCATACCTGCTCAAACCAAAACAATCAGCATCAACTGTAAACAACATGCCCATGCACAAACCACACGCACAGAGAGACACATACGTTAACTCGTCACCGGCAGACACGATGGTCTTAGCAATGAGCACAATCCGGCTCTCGTCATCACCGACACTCATGATCCTTGCATAGCAATTTGGCATACACTGTATGAACACCAGAAAACAGATTAGACGAGTATCCAGTATTGAGAATCAGAGAACCATGATGTACAAAAAATGTCAATTCAAGATAGGTTGACTCACTGAATGATTAATCAGCCGTGCTATATTCCCTTTATCAGTGGCATCTACCACCACTTCTTCACTTATCTTAAACAGCTGGAAAGACAAGAGAGTAGGGCAGTTTAGTTTAACAACATAACATGTAAATAATATGATGACCAGTATGGTTGTATTAATAGGCAGACATAGGGGAATATACTCACGTAGCAATCTTTCCCTTCTAATCTATAGCGTGCCTCCCTCAAATCTGCAATGCTGCGTCTCACTTGTTCACCACGATATTCAAGGACCTGCTTACGATTAAAATCATGCTCACTATTGCAACAGATAAAGGTTGTACATGGAAAAGTAGGAAAACATAAAGGATCGATCCAAGGGCAATCATTTTATGCATTTGATAATGTTAGAATCATAATGAAAGCAAAGGATGATATATTTTGCATACAAGTGAAGCAGAAAGCCCAGAGAATACTCAGGACCCAACAAGGCAAAGGAGACTGTAATTAAACTTTGTCCGGCTTTGCATGATTTTGAGAATTGCTTCATGAGCCTGAGTGCTCATGGCCACGGATATCATGGCATATTAAATGTTTTTTAATGTTCTACCATTTGAAATTACTTAAGAAAACCAAAGATTGTCAAGGGTTCGTTTAGTTTTAGCAAACACTTTCTGTTTCCATTTGTTGCTTTCACAAATAATTACAAACATGTCAATATTTTCACTGTATTCTGTATAAATTTATGAAAGTAGAAAACAAAGGGGAATTTTATATTTACTTATGAAAACTGAAAGTTTTTAAAATCAAACAGGCCTAAGATAAGATATTCAGTTGAAATGAAGCACTATATTCCTTCACTCTATGTCAATACTAGTTGACAAGTCCAAAGAAAAGAGCTTTGGAAAGGGTATACTTTGCAGGACAGGACTAGGTTGTAATAGAATAAAACCTCTGTTTTTGTAAAACTGAGTGATATTTGCCACATTAGTAAAATAAATATTTCTGTTACATATTGTTTAGTCCCACATCAGTGAAGCTTGATTTACAAGCTTCATGACTGTATTATATAAATTGCATTGCCAGATGAGAAATCAGAAAATCAATAACAAGATCATTAATTTTCAGATTTACATTTTCTTAGATCTAAGCTTTCTTTTTAGTATCAAGAAGTTCGCTTTTCTGATTACTGTGAGATACAAGTAATAAATACTGAGGTTGTTAAGATGATTTTTCGAAGGAGTACCCCTCCCCTTAATGTGCTGCTCAGTTTCATGCAAAAAATAGAATAGAATATATCACTTATGTTGTACTTTCAAGTGCTCTTCCAAGTGCTTAAGTAGTATAACAACTTATCAACTTATCGAACTTCATAATACTAATAAAAATATCTATAGTTGTTGATTGACCATCAGACACAAGCAGGTTATGGTTTTTGTAATGTTATCATTCATACCATTTCTCCTTCCTGAATATTTCTACGCGCAAAGAGGCCCCATCCATGTATGCCTGATCTACCAAAGCAAACCCGTTCATTTTCAGTTCTCTGGAATCATACAAGGGTACCCATAAAACAGTCAGAAAATTGACCACTGATGCAAATAATCCACCTAGAAGGAGAAGAGTTACCTGCAAGTAGTAAAGCCGTTCCCTGAAAGAAGAAAATGCCTGGGGTTCATGTACCACCTGATTTAGGGAAGAGATAAAGAATAGGAATGAGGGGAAGAAAGGCAGGAGAGACAGTCCAAATCTTAAATTAGAGTAAAGAATCAGTTAGAAAATCTATTGTACAAAAAAAAAATCCAATATAATTTTCAAAAGGGAAAAAAGGTTTACTCTGGGTGTATTTAAACTCTGTATTGCATCTAAAGGATGATGATAGTGACCCCTAACTTGATGAGAAACGGCTTCATCTGCAGCTCTCTACCCAGAAGAAGAAATAAAAATGAGATGCGCAGCATTTTATTTTTTTAAGGTTGCAAAGAAAACTTCAGAGGCAACAGTGGATATCAGAGACACATTTAGTGGAAATAGAAACATGACAATTAACATATAGTAAATATCAGAGACATGTGGTTTAAGTACTATCTTACAGATATTCACCAACAAGGACAACAATTTTCTCCAATCTACCTTTTTGGTATGGTTTATTCTTTGAAAGATTCGGCACCTAGCTGCAGAAAATGGTTCATGCTCAGTGTTATCAACAGGAGTGTCGTCTTGTTTTCTTCTGTTAGACGAGATTAACCTTGAACCAGTTTTTTTCTTAGTTTGGAGAAGGCTTTTGGTTGAAATGACCCCAAGAGGAGTTTGCATAATCAAAACAGTATCTGGATTGGGAGCCCTGCAAAAAATAGACATGATTAAGATGAAAGGCAATTAAAAAGGAGATTCTAGATAACCCCATACTTTCGCAATTAAAAAAAGACAATTGTTGGGGGAAAAAGCAAAACTTCAAAGAAAATGGTGGAAAGAGGCAAAGGAGGATTAATCTCTTTCTTAGTCATAATTGAGGATCACATACCTGTGGTAAGCACAATAAGAGACCATTTTTGTTGTCTGCCGGCCATTTTTCTCCAAACAATGCAACTGCATTTAATGGAGAGAAGTCCAATAAAATTATCCAAGATAAAACATTCAGAATGTGTAATGTGTAAGGGCTCTATAACCTAAGTATCTCAATAGAATGCAGACTAAAAAGTAAAAACAAAAGAGAAGACAGTGAATAATTTTGTTAATGGAACACTAAATGAACAAGGATAATTCTCCTTTACAAGGTTTGCCCTTTCCCAACTGAGTTCTCCGACTCAATTCTCTTATAACTACTGAGCATCCAATTGCTGTAACCACCTAACTGTTTTGCTTCATTCTTAAATGTATACTTTCCATGTCTTCTCCTTTTGAGGTCTAATAGGATACAACAACAATCGATTCTTATCTCACTAGATATGGTTCAGCTACATGGATAAATTGATGCCAATGGGCCCTATCGATAGTAACCCTCATTAATTAGTCTTCTTGTATATGAAATTGATTTTTTTATTCTTAGTAAAGTCCAAACTGAAAATGCATGTTATGAAGGAGACTGGTGAGAAATGGTAATCAGTTATCAAAGCTGAAGTCATATAGGTTTCATTAAAACAGGGAGGTAAATTGAAATTTGTCATTAAACTTTTTTAAAATTAAAAGAAAGTTCAAATCACAAGATATCAAGCAAGCTAATTCAATCCGAGTGAATTCTCACCTCCATTCGATAACCGGCCCTTGATGCACACATGGCATGGAAATAAGTGGAACACTTGCAACATTGTGTACACGACCCATGAATTTGCTTGCAAATAACACAAATCTGAAAAATTCAAGTAATGAAGACTTTAGATTACATTTGCAAGAGGACCAAGAGACATCAAAAGGAAACCCAATGCAAGTGGCTCCCACCAAATGGAGTTTGGGGAGGCTAGATGAACATAGGCTTAGTCTTGCAAGTGAATAAACTGTTTCTAGCATTTGAACCTATGACCTCCTGATCACACGGCAACAACCTTAAAGTTGTGCCAAGGCTCATTCTCACCAAGAGATATTTAAATGATAAAATATAAAGAAACTCGGAGACTGGATTATTTCCTTTATACCACACACTATGAATAAAAAGATCAAATCAAATAGACACTCTTTCAGTTTTCAAAGTGGTGAGAAGAAGTTTTCACTTTGTGAAATAGCAAAGAATAAATCCACTTCAACCACTAACATTGTCACGGGAAAATTTTCGTTTAGATACCCCACCTTCACAAAAGAATTTGATGGAATACTTAGAATACCCAAGGCAGGCTCCATCTTCTCATCACTAGCAAAAGAGACTTCAGGTCGAAACCAAGCACAAGTGACATGAACCCATAACGTGTCAACATCAGTTGGCTTCAGAGCACCACCTGGGAGTCCAACAAGAGTTTAAAAGAACAAAATTCTAGTCATTAGAACCAAGATAGAAATATATCTGCAGAGCCTCTTGGTTACATGAACATTTATGCAATAATAAAACTCTTTACATTGTGACCAAACATGATTAAATGATAGTATAAAGAAGTTTTATTCTTACAACGGACCAAAATATAACTCATAGTCAAAGGGACGGCAATTCTCAACCACAGAAATAAAATTGATCACAAGTGTATATAGGTTAAAAGAACCAAGTTATATATTTCCAAAAATAGAGCTTACATCATTGTGTCATAACGTAAATTCATGGGCAAAAATATTCTTCGACAAGCTTAAGTTGATTTATATGAACACACAAGGTTAAAAAGAAATCAGGCGGGCATGCCCAAAAATATCACGGGACATTTGAAATATTGTCAAAAGACATACCTTTCACAGGACAAAGACAACACTCGCGCTTGATATGAGGCGTTTCACAGGCCTTACAAACCCAAGATGTAAAATCTCGGACATTTCTTGCTCCATAGCATTCTTGATGAACAGCTATTTGACATCTGTAAAATATATAATTTATTTTAATTGCAACAAAGTGAACACAGAGTAACCACAAAATTATTGCTTCATAATTCAGGCAAGCATAAGAAAAAGATGTTTGGTTTTATTGACAAAATGGTTTCATTGGCAAAAGGCCTGACTTATATGCATCAATGACAAGGCTGTAACAATTATTAGTCACAATGGTAAGCTTCTGAATTGAAATCATGAAGTGAGGAGAATATTGATACTTTTGCTATATGATATTTCAAAATACAGAGAAAAATTAAATCTTAGTTAAATCATTATTGGCTACAATATCTGTAGATGCACGCAGCATCTTGAATCCATATCTCTTTATGGGTTAAATATTGACCAAGTTAAAAAAAAAAAATGAACTGAAACTGTTACATTACCTGTTGCAAATAATAATTTTGTTGTAGTCCCAGTCTTCAACCCATCTACAGACAGCACAGCGTTCTGTAGTCCACTTAGCATAAACAGGTTCATACTTCTCTGTCAGAGAAAGTTTACAGTACAATTATCACTATGAGAACTTCATATGGCCAACTCATCAACATGAAAAATTGTATGCAAACTGAATGAGTAAAAGGTCACCTTGCAAGAAGGTAAGCAGCTTCTGCTTTCTTTCTTTCAGAGAAGGTTTCTTAGGTTTGGTAGGAACTTGAGCAATAGCATGAAATTCTGCCAACTGCAGCATCTGAGAAGTCAAATAGCTTTGTATTAGTTGCATGCATTTTGAATTCAAATATTCTAAGGACTAATTCATACGATGGAAAAAACTCCAATTAATAATTAATAATTATGATAATAATTGGAACAAGAATACTGTGGTTTACTTCTATATAAGAAGCCCATAAGTAGATCAAATGCATAAAAGAGGGTGGTTAGACATTTGAACAATCTTCGGGGACTAAATTAACCAATAGTTAGTATACTTTCAGCAGAAAGAGACAAGGAAATATCGTGAAAATTAAATAATAGTCGTATACAAACCCATTGTTCCAAAGGTAGCATGGAGTCTTTCACCCTAATACTTGTTCTCCAATTTCTTGATTTGGAACCTGTGTGTCGTTCCCATTCACTAAGTGCTTGCTTTTCTGCCCCACAAAACCCACACTTGCACACAACTCTAAAAGAGAAAAACACAAATCACAACCAAAAAAAAAATTAAGAGAAGAAATTAGTCAGTTTCCAACCTAGAAGTAATAACAACAGCATATTCAGAATTAGCAACAGGCAATTTGGAACGTCATAATGTGAATACTGAGATGTACAACTAATAAGCTACATTATATATTAGAAAAGCTGTGGTACCACCTTAAGCATGATTAAAACAAACTATATCTAGTATTGTTGTCAGCAAGAATTTAGGTAGCAATTTGATCTGTGCACAAATTGATGAAAAGTAGGAATTCTTCCAAGGGTTATAAGAGAAAAAGAGAATTCTTTGGGCACAATTTCTTATAAAACTATCAGTTCTTAAAGAACTACAACAAAAGAACATAAGCAAGAAACGTTGGTAGAAGTTCCAACAACAGTTTCATTCTTTTTTGGGGAAAAAGAATCTCCTTAGCAAACTAATGCTGCATTCTCCCTCTAAAGAGCTAAATATCAATCAGAAAATCAGATTATATCAATAGGTAATATTAGTTGCCAATCTTGAAAAACGCATTAATATATTACTACTTACTTACAGCATCCTTTAAAGATAACTAATATATTACTACTTACAAGTGAAAAATTACAATAGCCATTTAAAAAATTAATAAATTAGTAGAACTGTGATAGTCGCAACAGAGGACAGGAAAAAATTATGTCAAATTCTTCTGAAGGACTTTGAGCTTACGAATGAAGGCTTGGAAAATATATGCCTTCCACACCATTGCAGAGAACAGTGACCCTATTTGGAAGCACGAGTTGCTCATTGTTTTTGTTCCACCTGTACCAAAGCATCCACTACAGTTAGAAATTATATAAATAATCTAAAATATTTTATCTCAAATGCTATAACAATTTCTTTGACACACTCCTTAATATAGGGAAGTTCCATACGGGTCCCACTAAATAGGGAGTGGAACCCACATGATTTAATGGGTCTCACATCAATTTTACCCAAGAAAAGTGCTATTTTAGCACTACTCTTACCAAATAGAAATATTCTAAATTGGTATATGAACTTGAATCACAACGCATAGGCTTCATGAGAACTTTAAATGGAGTAATTAAGATTATGTCACAAAACCAGGGCTGGAGGAGATAAATAAAAGGACCAAAATAAACTTACTTGACTTTTGGATGTGGTTTTTCTGAATCTGACAACTCAAAATCAAACTTGGCTTTGCAAGTAGGGCAGTAATAATCAGTGCCTTCAAGATTCTACCAAAAAAGGAATACACCAATAAGCAAAATAAAAAATGACACTTTATGAGCTTCAAATGCTGAAAACTGGCATTATTAAGATATCAAGTAATGGGTAAACCTTGAAAAGGTGGTTAGAAATTTTGTCACATTCAGCATGTACCCACACTTTGCATCCATCACAGCGCACCTAATTTGGAGGGGACATTTGCAAAGATAAAAAGAAAAAGTTAATACTAAGCAATATAGTCTTTGAGCAGAAAAAAGAGTAACCTTAATTAATTAGTTAACAGGATTCGGCTACTTACCCAACTTCCACTATCTGAATGATTCCAAACCTTCTTGCATATGCCACAATAATGCTTTGATTTTGTTAACTGCAAAAGAAAGTAATTTAAAAACAGAAAAAAAATCTAAACACTTCCAGAACTTCAATTATAATGCTTTTGTTCCAGATTTAGATACAAAATCTGTTAGAAGAAAAACGAAAGATATACAAACCCTAGCACATGTTCTACATAGGAATTGCCCACCGGGGCTTGAATCCCTCGTTTTCTTTAATATCTTGTAAGGAAGGCTCAACCCACAGGCTTCACAGGGCCGTGTATCTTTCTTATCAAATAAATCCTGAAATGGAATTCAAATCAATGACGAACCCTTGAACTTTAGCAAAATGCCTCACTTATACGGAGTAATAATTACATAATCAAATGAGAAAAGCATGCCAAGACAGTCTCCGGCACACAAATGAGAAAAGAAAATGGGGGTGCCAAGTGCTCTCTCTATCCCTTACAAGCATCAATACGTCATCCTAAGTTTTTTATAATTGACCAACAAATGCAAATAATTATTACTGTAGATCAAAGATTCTAGAAATTTTACTAAATGAACCTTAATATTAATCTTTTCTACGGAAATCAAAGTGGCAGCACAACAATATTTTAAAAACATATTATTAGGGGTATAATTGAAAAAAAAAAAAACTATAATTGATACACCGTATTACGTTGAAAAACTAAAATGATAATGTCCTTATTTTAGGACTTATGTTTCCTTCCTAAAAGAAACTGACTATAGGACAGGCGGAGAACATTATCAATTACTTATTACCTCCATTCCTATATAGTATAAGACTCTTGAAAAATTTCTTGTACCTTTTTATCCGTCCTTCTTCAAATTGTTTCATGAATTAATTATCTTTTTTAATTCCTCAAAATACCCCCGATTACTCTACAATGTCTGTAGTCCGTAAACAATATTCCTTCTGATCTAACTGACAGATTTTTAAAAAAAATTGTGTTTTTCTTTTTCTATCAGTTTCAAATTTAAGATAATATTAGTTGCTCCTTTGTCAATTATACTCTTACCTAACATTTTTTGATTAATTTTCTTTATGTATTTATTGTATTGTAGAAATGAAAAATGGTAAAATATAAAACTTCATATACTATTTTATTAATATTAAGAAAATTTATTACATCTTTCTGCATAAAAACCTATAAAAATCTTAAAATACAGATAAAGATAATGGAAAACAATGGAGGGAGTGGATGCTATAATAATAATTAAATAAAAGCTTTCTCTCTATTGTGAGGATTGAAAAAAATGAGTAGTATGCCTTAATTAATTATGTTGAAGGCAATTAAGTAGAAAGAGTGAGATGAGAAGCACAATATCCTAGGGAAATTTTGAAAAAGTAATACAGATTGATAAGCATTTGACTAGATTAACCAACTTTCTTAATTCTTATAGGGGTGGAAAGCGTCCTAGATACAATGCACCAGAATTTGAACAGCCAACCAGTCATGCAGTTCCCAAATGGTGGGAAAGGAAAGAAGAGACCCTGTAGTTGACTTACCTGGTTCAGAAAACGATATCCTGCATAATGGTTTGAATGAGTGACTTCATGAAAGGCTTTCAGAATAGAATCATCATAACCATTGTTACTAGCTGCCGTGTTTATATCTGCTATCAACTTCTCTGTGAAACCCCTCTCTGCCAAAAATGCCTCCTCGATTGCCATTTGGAAGTCGGAAGGATTATAGAAACTCAACTCAGACTGCCCCTGAAATCTAAACCAAGAAACATCACGCCTAGTAAGCAAAAAACCTTCCACAAAGAAAAGTGGCAGTAGTTTCACACAATGTAAACAAGCAAACAGAAATAACCAACAACAACTCCACACCTGTCCACATAATCCACAAATGGAAAAATCATCCCATGCTTCACCCATGCATAATCCTGCCAAAATCACCAAAAACACAATAAATACACAACAAGTGTTCTCCATATAAGAAGTAATTATTCATACACAGTTACACATTGCATAATACACACCCTTTGATTCTCATTCCCAGCGTACCCAAGAAACATGACACAGGCTGCATCAGCTATACAAGACCTGAGAACCAACTCAGGTGCCTGAGTCATAGGATCAATAACAATGGCTGGCCAAAAAGGTTCCTTTCTCCCGGCTTTGGCCCACACTATGTCACCTGCATAAAAATCTTCTGGCCCAAATAACCCATTTCTCCTCTCCCCGTTATTCTCCTTCAACCCCATCAAACCAACTCCTTCCACCTCCGAAAACCTTCCCCTCTCGTCTTCTTCAACGGCCACCCCACCATGCCTCAAGACCAATGCCTCACCACCAGGCAAACTCGAACATTTGCTCCGCTCATAAGTCTTGCACAATGCGGAGTACTTACGAGCCTTAGACGCCGTTTTCTCCTCGTTTTTCCCTTTCTTTTGATTATTGCAAATTTTGGGCGCCCTGAAGCCGAGCTTCTCCTTCTTGCATTCAAACTCTTCATCATAATCACAATCTCGCACGCCACTACTACTCTTGCTCTCTTTCCTCCAATTATCAATAACAGAGTCGTTGAACCGCGAAGGCAGAACCTGAACTCTCCCCCTCGAAGTCCTAACCAGAGGTGGCCGCTGAACCTCGCTCTTCTTCTTCGCTTCCACCACGACGTCATTTTTCGCATTCGATTCCACTCCGTTGCACGATACCTGCGTGCACCACGTCGCAGAAAAACCCTTCTCCGACACGCCGGCGCCTAAAAGCCCGTGAAAACTCGCCGGAATCACGTCGCCAAGAAGGTTCAAAGGGTAGTAACCGTTGGTCTTCCTCTTCTTCCGAGCGTAGGAGCAATCGTCGTCCTCGCCCACCGAGTCACCGAGTTTGACCCGTTTCAGATTCGGCATTTGAGATTTCAAGTTACGTTTGATAATCATGGCTCTCTCTGCGGAAACAAATCACGGTGCCCGCATTAAATTGAAGCTAAAAACGATGTCAAAATCCCAACTTCTAGAACCCCAGAAAGGAAAATTTCACAGGGGAGTCCAAACGCCCGAGACACCCCATAAACCCTAATTCCGAATTGAATTCCGAGAAACAGAGCAACCGCCGAAGCGCAAAGAGGGACCGAATTCCATGGATAAATACGCCAAGAGGGTCAAAGGAAGTGAAACAATTTAGTGCGAGAATGTGGGAGAACCTGATCGATAAGATCGAATAAGCACAGAAGAAGAAAAGAGGGATCTCTCACTAGGAAAGAGAGAGAAAGAGAAGTTCAGAATAGAAACTTAAACATTTTATTGTTAGACAAATTGCAATGTAATTTGTATTATGTGGGACTGGACAAAAAAAAAATTGTTACATAGGACGGTGTTGTTTTAATTTAGGAAATTTTTAGAGAGAGGAACAAGGAAAGGGGTGACAGAGTAACACTAGAAAGAAGAGAGAGAAGAAGAAGTCGCGGCGTTATCTTGAGTGTGTTCATATGTTGTTATGTAGTTAGTTGATAGGCGAGATGCTAACTTGCGCATAGCGTGTTGGGAGCGTTATTTCTTCTTCCTATCCATGAGCTTGGTGATGACACACTCTGGTTGGGTTTCATGTGTACCATTTTCCTTTTATAAGTTTTCATGTAAGTGTAATTGTTATGGCTATGCTCGAGTCATCCTTTTGAGAACAGAGAGAACTGGATGACCAATTTTGTTATTGTTTGTTCCAAGAATTTTGGAGCCATAATATGTCACTTGCATATATGTCTATGTGTGGGAAACATGTTTTTTATGTTGTTGGTGTCCTTCATTTTTGTTTTCATGTTTTGCTATGGCTTTTTATGTTGTTGTCCATTTTCGGCTAAGGCTTTGGGCTTTGGGATTTGGCAATTTCACTGCCACAATAGAGTGCTAAAAAAAATTGTTTATGGATTTTGATATTTTTAGCAAGTTTTGTGGTATTCTCCGGTGGGGGAGGTAGCAATATTTTTTGGATGGGTACAATTTGAATTTCGTGAAATATAATTTTGTTGTGCTCGTAGACGACGGGGTTGGTCTAGGAGCAGAAGATTACGTTTGAAAATCGTTATTAGGGTTTGTTCCGAAGATCGGGTGTAGTAAAATTTTTTTTTTTACCAGAATGTTTTCTGTTGCTAGAGGAAGACGTGGAACAGTGCAAATAGGCACCAGTCTCAACCACGTTGAATGAGTTAAACACATTTAATGATGTGAATTGTAAGATTTTGTGTTTTATTTGATTAAGAACGTGGTTTGGTTTGGTTTGGTCTTGTGTTGTGTTTGGTTTGGTGGGTATATGAGGAAACCAAGTTCTGGTGATTGGATCTACGCACTACACGCCACTCACTCACTCACTCCATCCACTTCCTCTATTTTATGGGATGTTTTCATTCTCTAGAAAAATTATAAAGTATAAAGTTTTTTTATTCCAAGACGAAACCTCGCGCTTCTGAGTATTCAACTCATGGTGGATGAATAATTGGCCATCGTCCATGGATACGGATGAAGGTTCTAGAAATTTGAGAGACCTCTTCATACAAATTAAAAAAAAAAAAAGTGGTTTTTATTTTAATTTTGTTTGCCTTTTGGTTCGTTAACGAAACCTCCGGCGTGAAGCCATGGAAATTATTCATCATTCGTTATTATTATTATTGTTGGTGGTCTCTAGCAATAGAAGAAAAGTAAGCACGTATATATTAATTATAGAAACCCCTTTTGGGTATCTAATTTATGTCTAATGGATACCGTGATTTATTCATATAACTCTGAACTTGAAAATGAAAATGTTTGTTTAGTGGATTATTTTTTTATTTATCTACGTTGTTAAATTAAAGGGAAAAAGTAGAGAGAGAAGATTTATGAGATGCAGAGAGCAAGAAGATGATGAACTGTAGATCACGTGAGTGAAGTTAACTCTTTTTTACTATTATTATTATTATTACTATTAGAGGCTTATGATTTTAGAGTGTGTTGACATGTGTTTGTTTAGGGTTTTTGAAGTTGTGTAGAATGGTTGCTCTGTTTTGTGTTTGAGAGATGCTTTTCTTGTTATCCACTTCGAGAGGAGGGGCATATCATGGTGGTGGCTGCTTTTCAGCTTTTTCTTATCTTTGGATCATTCCAAAACAAAAAATAATTAACAATGAAAGAAGATCTACATTTTCTTTTTCATAAACATTATCCATCACTATTTTAAGATTTCTGTTTCAAGTTAATATGAATTCATCATGCTAAACAAAAACGCAAGTGTTTATTTTGGCTTCATGTTTTTGTTCAAGTTTTCATTCACTTTCTCTTTGTCTTTTGACTTGTTGAGAACATATATTACATGGATGGGGGATGTTTGGTCTCCGATAACTTTTATCGTGATTATTATGAACGTGAAAAGGTTTTCATAATTTGACATGATATTTTTAGAATAAATCTTACGAGTAATTATCCATAACATAAAAGGATTTTAATTATTTTATTATGGTAATCTTAATCCAGTAAAATATTCTCTATTCATCATATAATTCTTCCTTATATGAAGAAAATATTTATTGAGCGAAACATAATAATTTCATTACCATAAAATATTCTTTTAACTTAAGAAATTTGGATTCTCACTCTCCAATAAAACCGATTTTGTGATAAATGTAACTAGAAAATATAATCAAAAATATTATTTTCTTACGCATAAATCAAATATGAGAATAAACCTTCTTATTTCAAAATAATTTTTTTCTTATACTAAACGTCTTCTTAATATAAAGTAATTTTACATAAAATTATAATACAAGCGATTTATAAGTGAATGACGGTATAAAATGTTTCTCATAATATACTAAAATGGATAATAAACAACAACATTGATATAAATTAATTCAAGTATTTAGTGTTTATTTATGTTGAATGTTTAGAAATTAATTTTATCGTCCCAAGTGATATACTTAAGATTATTTGTGGTGGAGAATAATTATGATTAAAAATAAATAAATTAAGAGACGAAGGAAAAGAACGACGATAGAAAAGTCAAGGCTGGGAGACTCCACTTTTTCTTAATCATTACTAATATTTTTATTATTATTATTTACTTTTGAAAAATATTTCATTTCATTTAAAAGTTTTAAATAATATTCCCATTTCGAAACTTGCCATAAAAATTAATACGTCATAGTCAGGTTTATTAAATGTATTTTTTCTCAATAGTACGTGAATATTGAATTTCAATATTATTAGAATTACAAATGTAAACGTGATATTTTTTTAATTATACAATAATCTTAGAATTAAATGACATATTTTAATAATTAATTATGCACTAAATTTTAGAGTGATTTTGATATTTTGGAATAAACGGTTTCTTTTTAGTCAACGAAAAAGTAAAGAAGCAAAATATACTGGGAAATTAACACTGAAATGTATTTTATTATTTAGGTAAATACTATTAGTCATAAATTTAGAGATTAGTCTCAAAGGATTCAATTTAATATAATTAAACTGCTTATCTTATTATTTGATCCATCTTGTTCATATTTTAAATATTTTGAAAATTTTACTACTAAATGCCCTATTTCGTTTGCTTATCACTGTTTAATGTTTGATCTAGTGGTAGAGTTTGGAAGTTTTTGTGTTTAAAGGTTCAAGCAAGCATTTTTATTTGTTGTAAAATTTATAGGTAAGAGAAGATAAAACCAAAAGTTCATGGAGGGTCATACTTTGTGTGATTTTCTTGCTAAAACTATTGAAAAAAACACGTGTTTTTACTTTATTGGATATAACTTTATTTTAGTGGTTATTGTGTTGAAGGGGTTTGTGTTAATATATTATATTTATGATTTGATTGGGTTGAAATGGTAATGTTTTATGATTTAATTTTGTGGCATTGTTCTACCCATGAACATGACCCTCACATTTGAAATTATACATTATTTCCAAGTTGATTTATATGGCCTCTATTTTTGTCATTAATTGAATTTGAAGTGTAAGTGACAGTGACATAGCACAAACATGTATATGCAATGATCCACCTGTCCACATCATACATAATATATCTTACTTTTAGCCCACAATATGCAAAGGTAATTCACTTTTCACGTGTCACACACACATTTCATTTATGTTTTCATTTTTTCAAAATGAAATTGTAATTTGACACCTACCTGAAGAGGTCTTTGATGCTTTGCCATTGTAGCATAGGTAGGATCATGTTCATAGCAGCTTCTTCCTTCTATTAAGTCAATCTTCATGCAGAATAATATACGTTCGGTTATGTAATGATTAATGGAACAAAGATGTGACCAATAGGAATTATATGGAATAAAATAAAAGGTTACTATTTTATTATTTAAATATTTTATAATAAAATAAATAATCCAGATTAGAGAAAGAGAATAAGTTATATGTTAAAAATGAAAATTTTAGAGAAGGAAATTATTAATGATATTTATATGGACATAGTACAGCATTTTTTATTTTATTTTTCCATATTCAACAAACCTATGTACATACGTGGAAGGTTATTCCTGTCTTTAGAGACGATGATACAATAGATAAGAGATGAACTACCCTAAGTTGGGGTCTGGTTTATTCAGCAAATATCTGCTCAAACATACAGAGAGTCCACATAAGTTCTGAACACATATAACTGCTGAGTTTGATCAGATATAGCTACTCGACTCTACCTTCTTCCTACTATATCAGTCATAAAGTCATTCATTCATTCCCTCTTGCTCTCACATTCTTCAGTTCTTGCAAATCTTCCACGGATTCTTGGTTGACTGTCAGCAAGAGCCTTCCTGCAAGCATACTGGAAAAAAAGATGTATATCATCAGCTGATTCGATTGAAAATAAGATCAATAAAACTTGGTAGCGAAAGAAAACCACTGTTGATGCCACACTTAACAACTTAATACTATATGAAGGAGTATCAGGTTGTTCGAGATGTGATTTTTTATATTAACTGAGAAGCAAGTAAATTTTAGCTTCTAAGTTTTTAAGTAAAATTGACATGGTTTGTTTGCTTTGTACCGGATTTCCAAACACATACAAGTCAAAAGATAGCAAAAACTAACTACACATTTCAAAGCTTCAAGAGCTGAGGTAACGAACTAATGATAAACATTTATAAAAGGAACTGCTCACTCATCCATGAGATATACATGGAATTGAATAAAACAAATTCTAGAAAACATGAGAACAGAAGACAAACATGAATGTCATGCTTTAGAATTTTCAGCCATTGTATTCATGTGAAACTATGGGATGTTAGAGGAATGGTGAACCTTGATTTTCCTCCCAAAGTTCCTCTTTGTCCTCTTATTTCTGTATCTGGAGAGCTTTTGGAAGCGTTCTTCACTGGTGCAGTTGCTGATAAGGAAGGGCCTCTCAAGGGGTGATTGGACAATGTTCATGTTTCCGTTACCAAGAGTCTGTCAAAATAGTTGATTAAACACAAGATTTTGATGAGTTTATTCACGCAAAGAAGAGCAATAAATGAATCTAATTATTTTTGCTTCTGCACAAAAAAGTATAATTTGTTGGATAAAGTAATCTAATGGGTGCCTGGAAAGACATGAGTTGAGATAAGGGCAAATTAAGTGACAGATATTTATTACACTACAGGTTCAGGACTTGCACGATATCGAGAAGCATGTTAATCACATGGATACATGGCAAAAGGAACCATAATAATTTTGGTGCATTTTTGTAACAGACTTTTAATTTCTGGTCACGCAAGCAGATTATGAATTTTTTAGACATTTGAACTAACAGCTTCCAGCAAAAGCAATCTTTAAAATATATTAGGTATAATATTGTCAAATTTGTTACTTCCAATTAAAGCAATCAGATTGAGGTCATGTCATCAGTTTTCATTTCCTTACTGCTTCAACCTTAAGACTGATCAGAGGATCAGTTGATGATTGGAAGAGGTGAATTTTTCTTCTTGATGGGAGTTATGTCTCTCTCTGTATTGAGTTTGTTAGGATTTTACTAAGGGTTAACACAACTTAGGTTTAACCAAGAGATACATCAGATAAACTTTAAAAAATTATGACATCACGTTGAGTAAGACAATAGGTTTATTGATTTTTCTCACTTATATGTTTCATTCCTTGATAAGATATATCATGGCGGCCAAATTTTAAGCTTTTACTCTAAGCATGTCAAGAAAAGAAGCAGAATTCTGAAAATATCAGCACTTCTAATTCAAGACAAAGTTGCTCCCACAGCTAGAGTGTAGTAAAAAAGAAGCCATGGTCCTTACATCTCCTTAAGCTACTATCTTTAGGCACTGCTAGATTTGATGGTGATTTAATTAAATTAAAAAAAAAAAAAGGGAATGTATATACAAAGAGGTTAAGTTAAACCTTTATATCTCCTTCACTAAGTGATCTCCGCATGCCATAAACTGCATTGAAATCGATTGCAGGGATATCAATGAAAGCAGGCTTCAGTGCAGCTCCACGAATCCAGTCCATTGAGCTTAAACTTCCTGAGCTGATACTCTTTCCTAATTGCATGTCAGGAAGTGGCTTGTTTTCTTGAATTGCATTTTCATCAATGTCCAGAAGAGGAACCTTGATTTCCAGAATCTCAGAGAGTGGTGAATCTATTGCTGCCTTTTCTAAGAGATCCTTTTTGCATTCATAGAATACCTCACTCAGAAATTGATCATTTTGAAGAATATCAATATCGGTGGATTTTAGTCCCTGGGAGGAAACATCTTCCCCACAAGATATCATTGAGATGGCGGCTCTCATGGGATCCAGGTCCATGATAGGTTCTTCAAGAATAGGTTCAGGAGCTTTGAACAGATCTCCCTCTGCTGCCAAATCATACTCTGACATGGCAGAAGACTGAAGAAGATCATCCTGCATTAAGGACATGGAGAAGTCAATGAAATAGTAATTAACAGATGTAATCCAGCTATAGAAATGAAATTAACTTTACTCGTAGAGCCAAATAAAGATAAAAATAAAGAATGTAAAACCAGAATGCAATAACTGGCAAGTGAAAGCAGAATTTAGCTTTAGAACAGAAAAAGACACAGACTATCAACTATTAAAGACAAATATGAAATAAAAGTATTGTACCGAAAGCAATAACTGTAATGCAACAAGAAAAAGATAGGACACCTCACAATATGTCAATTCCAGACACGGTATGGGGTACATGATTTACACTTCCCTCTCCCATACCCTGCACCCTCAAAAAGATGTGCCATCAACACTTTCAATGTTTAGTCATAGTCTATATACAGTAGTCAATTGTTGTGGCCATGTAAAGCTTGTTTCCTACTGGTTATCATGTTTAACTTGCTAATGCCGAGAAGTTGCCCTAAGATGATATTCCTGACATATCAATGATGCCAAAAGTTTTCAGGATGATATTTGCATGATTCCATCAAGTAAAGTGATTCTTAAAGCAACTGACCACATTATAAATTTCTTAGAATGGCAAAAGATTCCAATTGCATATCATGGTCATCCAACCAAAACATGATTTATGGATGGGATTATCCTCAACTTTTTTAGAAAGAGAGAAACAGCAAAAAAGAGTGAGAATCAATCTGAGATAGTGAGGTGACAGAAAAAGCTATATGTCAGTAAGAGAATTGGGCAAGAGCTTCTAAGAGTTTCAAGCATAATCTAAGAAATATGTAAGATTCTCCAGTTTAGGAAATTGACCCAAGAACTTATTATCAGAATAGTACGTATTGCAGGTTAAACGATAAAGGGATAAAAAGACAAGGGTCTTCTTCATCTTCTTCTTTTAATTTCAATACAAATCAAATTCCACACACAGTGGCAAACACCATATTCCTACAGCAAAGCAGAAGCCTTGCTGTAAACGAATACATATTCAGCTAAACCTTCACAAACAAAAAGAATGTCTGCTTAAATATATAGGTTATCAAATTTGAATTCAATAGATGGTTTCAAATTCGAAGCCATGCACCAACGCAAACCTGGCTTTGAAAGAAAATTCAGGAGTTAACAGCTGAAACAGTGAAACTAGAACGACACACAGTCCAGAATACAGTTCATTATAACTCAGATAGAGTATGGATCACTAATTCCTTCGCATGAATTATTAAAATGAGTATATATAAAGGAAGCCAGTTAAAAGCAAATAATTGACGAACAGATATAAATTCACACTTCAAAACATTTAAAGCAGCAAAGGTTCGAATCCTATCTATGTCAATTATTTAAGGTTATGCTGTAAGCAATATCATTATAAATCCCAATATCCTCGTGGGTGGCCTTCCTTTGACAAAACCAGAAGGTGGATTAGTCAAGCATGCACCTTCCCTGATTACAAGGCACTATCACCTCAATCTTTGTTTGAAATTTCAGTGCCAAAACAGCAAACCACACCACATGAAAACAACCTAATTTTACCATTTATTTAAATGTAACAGGAGCAGAAATAGAAATAACCTTTTCTAGAACTATATGTAGTGCTCGACAAATACTATGAGGAAATGATTAAGTTGAGCATTAGCAAACCCCGTTCCTTTACTCTTTTTCCTTACTAAAAAGAAGTAAAGCGAATAAAAGTCCTTTTTCTCTTTAATCTCCCTCCTCAGTGCGGCGCAAAAGGACAAACTCCACTGAGAGTTCACACTAGAAACTTGTAACAATAGGAAGAAAGATTATACAAGACGGAACTATCACAAAGAAAATACTTCCTTTTATACCCTTTTCTTTTTCTTTCCTTTTTCTCCTGCTTTTTTAGATCCAGCGTATGAATCCAACTACAGTTGTTTCCACTTGTGGTATTAATAAGAGAAAACATTCATAAAGAGAAGGAGCAAAACTCAAATGAATAAGCATATATTAAGTTAGAAAATGTTTGGTTATAAGCTTTCCTTCTTCTGCTTGATACTACCAATCAAGGAAGAAACCGCAAATCATCTACTAAAAGAGGAAGAAACTTCACAAAAAAATCTGAAATGTGAGAAATAAACATTTACGTGAAAATTAAGACATCAACATACAAAAAACTAAGTCTAATTCTCTAATACAAAGTGACCCATTCTTTGTTGCCCCATTTACTCCAAAGAAATTAATAGGGACAATTCAGAGAAAGGAAGAAATAGCAGGGAAACAAAGTTTCAAATTTTAATGCTTATGAAGAAAAAGAAGAAGAAAAAATCAACAAGTGCTGATAAACAGAGGAAAGACAGGGGAATGAGTAGAGACAGGTAGAGACCAACAGGGGAATGGAAAGATACCATTGAAAAAGCATTGTACTTCTGGGTTTTGCAGTACTCCTCAAGCTGGTGAAGCTCTTGAGAGAGGCTGTGCAAATATGGGAAGATAAGACCAGTTTCAGCATACATTTCTCCAATACTGAACCTAATTCAGATGAGAGCTAGATAGAAATATGTTCCAATGGAAACAGGGTAAAAACAGAGCAAGAGAAACTCAAACAGAGTGGTTTGAGGTTGGAGATTTATTAATTTAGGACAAAGGTGGAAAGAGAATGAGTATTTATATGAAGAAAAATGAGAAGTAAATAGGGCAATAATGATAGTATGGCTGCAGGACTTTGGAAATACATGATGTGAGAAGAAAATATTTAAGTAAGGACAAAGTAGGAAAAGGACAGAACCATTTTATAATGCAGTGTCCCCAATCATGTTTCTTGTCATACCCTTTTTAAAGAAAAAATGAAAAAGGGTATTGTTTTTAATGACTATATTAAATAATTTGTGGCATCATATTTGCGAATCGCAGAGGCAGATGAGTTGCACCAAGCCAATGGCAGTGCAGTGTGGACATAATTGTGATCATGGTGGAGGGGATGGTGGTGCCTGGACTCACTCATGGCAACAGTAGCCCAGTGTAACAGTTGCCAATATACTCATAGTCACAAATAATTGAACATCATCATTTAGTCATACTTCATCATGTATAATAAATTCAACAAATTTCTCTCACATTCACTCTATTTTCACAATATTATTAATACTCACACACTCTTTATTTTTATTCTAAAAGAAATCTTCAAATTCATAACATAGTAACATCATAATCATTATTTTATTATAGATTTTTTTTCATGATATAAAGCTATCACGTGAAGTACGGGTGCCATAGAGGGTCCATTACAATTTTCTTTTTCATTGTGTTGAGAATATTTTAATAGAAGTAGTAAACTAAATATTAGAAATAAATTACTCGTTACAGTTAAAAATAATGTCTCTGAGTTCGTCACTGTCAGAGTGTTTTTCTTTTTCTCTTCTTCCTCTGTTTTTCTTTTTCATTTTTAGTGATTCAATAATGTTGACAATGAGAATTGCATAGAGCATCTCAGAAGTGTCAAAGAGAAAAGAAAGATAATTAATGAACCGTGATGATTTGCTATCTTTTGGCTTTCAATGATTATATCGATCCCCTTAAATTTTACCTCACCATTTTCAATTATTTTCCTTCAAAAGATTTTCTTGTTCTCGGTGTGGGAATGATAAGTGTTAAGTTCCAGCAGTTTGCTTCTTTTATTTCATTTCTTTAATTTTTAGGGTTCCCGTTGTTGGATTCTGGGAATTTACTAAATGAAAAGTTTTTATATTTGATTATGCCTTTGACTTTGAAATGGACCAATCAGAAATATTGCTTCTTTTTCACTGTATTTTTCAATCTACTGTTTGCTCGTCAAAGTTTTCACAAATTCTTAAAGTAACTCAATTATATTATATATATAAAGTGTTGAGAATAAAAATTAATTAATTATTATTTTGATACATTAGTTTTACATTATTTTGAAATTGAGAGAAAGAATTTTTTCTTAATTTATTAAAATATATTTTAAAAATAAAATTATAATTGATGATAATTTTAAATATCTTTTAAAAATAAAATTATGATTGATAATAATTTTAAAATAAATAACATCTTAAATATAAACATCTTAAATATAGACATTAATGAAAGTATATTATTATATAAAGATATAAGTTAGAATATTTTCATTTCTAAATAAATATAGTTTTAATTTTTTTTATATACTTATAAAAAATTTAAAATAAAATAAAATTATTTTTTAAATATAAAAATATATTTTTATATTTTTATAAACAATAATAATTACAATTATAATAATAATTACTTTTATTTGTTTATATAATTTTTATTTATATCTTTTTCTCTTCTTTTTTTTCGTCTTTCACCTCTCCATTTTTTACCCTTCAATTTCATATTTTTAATTTTTTTTTACCACTTTTTCACTTGCTTTTTATTATTATTATTATTATTATTATTATTATTATTATTATTATTTCACTTCCATTTTTATTTTTTCACATTTTCATCTTATTATATAAAAATTATGAGTTTTTTTCTTTCATTTTCACTTTAAGTAAAACATTTTTGTTTATTTTTTTTTAACTATTATAATACATTACCATTTATACTATTTAATCAGTTAGTTTGATATTTTATAATATTCAATTTCCATGTTAAAATCTAAAAAAAAAAAGTTTAATTTTAAAGATATTTATGAAAAAAATTATATATTCATTTTTAAGAAAAAAAAGTAAATATATGATAAAATAAATTTTAACTTACTAAATTTAAATTTAATAAAATAATATTTTTAATAAAATAATATTAAAAATATTATTGAATAACTTACCATATAAATTATATAATAATTAATGATTTTTATATATTTATTTTATATCAATATAAATGATTTATAATTTTTTAAAATTTTATATAATATATATTTTTATATTATAAATAATTTTAATATATATTATATTCAATTTAGTTTTTCTTTTTTTTTAATTTATAATTCGGTCTTGGACAGAATAATTACATATAAATATATTTGTTTATTTAAAAAAAATAAAAATGTATTTATTTTTAATGATCTAACAGTATTAAATTAAAGGAAAAATAATAAAAGAGACTGAAAAATCTCACACTGATAATTTATTGTGGGAGTGGATTTCTCTCTTTTATGTTAATATATAACATAGTTTTGGTTGTGACGTTGAATGTGAATGAAAGATGTTTAAGAAATTGTTGGAACTCTTAATTATTGTTCTTGTGTTATAAACTTTCATGATTAAAGGTCACTTGCAAGTGCTAATCACAACTGTGAAGAATGGAAAAGCATGAAGTGCATCGTTCAAGTCACATCCACTATTGCAGAGGCCAAATATGTAGCAAACATTATTTTGTTTTCTATAAATTTTGTTTCATCAAACACTCTTTTTGGCCAATCTACATTGAAGAGTTGCTGAATGGAATAGGGTGAGGGGACTACTCATCCACCCCAGTTTTAGTAATCAAGTCTCTTCGTTATATCTTAATCCGTAGCAAAGTTTTTCTCTTCTTTTCTAACATTTTCCCTCTCATCAAACACTTTCATTTTTCTTATATGTACAAATCATTTGGATGTGTTCATGATTTTAGTTTTAGATGGTTGGATATGATTGGTTGGGTTTGTCATCATTAAGAAAGAATGTGGTGAAGGGTTATAAATTCACACTCACATCCATTATTATTAACCTGGTCCAATCAAATTAAATAGTTCTTAATCAAACTTTACTTGTTTATCCATCACATCATATTAGTTTAAGATAAGTTTTGATCATGTTCGTACAAAATATACTAACTGTTAATAATTTAATATATTTTTAACTATTTTTAAACACTACAAACTTAAAAAAAAAATACTATAGAAACGTTTTGAAATTTTATTTGAGTTCATGTATTATTATTATTATTATTATATATATGATAATTAAATTGATTACAGGTCAAAAATCAAATATTTTAATTAGATAATTAACCAATCAAATAATAAAAAGACTTTTAATTTTGGGTTATTAGATCAGGTTTTTACTAGAGTCATTGAACTCTTTCTATTTCTAATTATAGCACTTATATTCATTAGATATATATGGGATGAAAATCTTAAATACACTTACTTCATGGTATTTTATCCATTTCGTCTCTAAAAGAGATTATGTTCTTTCATGGTACACTAAATTTTCCGTCAAACGTACGAAACTTTTGACTATGATAGTAAATTACTATAGTGTTTTCTCTTGTTTTTTTTTTTTTTTTTTTCAAAAATTGTGAGCCAAACTTTTAACACACTTTCTGTTACAAGCATATATTCAACTTTTATAGTAGATAATAGTATAGTATATTTCAACTAATTATATTTACCGAACGCACGATGTTACAAATTATTTTATCAATATCTCATCTTAACCAAACTCAATAGTATGACTCTAGTATAGGCCAAGTCAATATACATATTTCACATATCTATGCATGCCAATGCATTTTGCCTACCTGCCTCGTATACCTATCAAACCCTATCAACATACATAATCCTAACATATGATAAGTTTTATATAACTTAGCCTAATAATAGTTTAAAAGTATATTTTTTAAATTAATTTTATTGATAAAATAGTGATAAATTAAAGTTTTAAAATAAATAATATCATAATTATCAAATATGGATGTTCCCAACAAGATTTAAACATAATTTCGATCCTTTTAGTCATTAATTATGAAATTTATTTATTCATTGAGATTAAGAATATAATATAAACACTTTTTTTTCATTGAAAATAAAATTGTGATAAATTACAATTTTAAATATATAGTAATAATTAATCGTAATAATCATAAAGTCCAAATATTTTTTTTAGATAAAATAAAACGTAATTCATTAATTAATAATTAATTTAGCATATTAATCAAATTATATAATTTATTTATTTCAAGTATATGCAATGTAGTTTATAATGAAAGAAAAAAAAACTCGTTTAAAAAAGAGTCATTTGAAGTACGTCTAAAAAAAAGAAAATCTTATAAGACTTGAAAAAATAAATTATATAAGAATTCAAAAGAATTTCACTAAATAAAAAAATTTAAAACAATAGCATATTATCAATACTATAAATATAAGAAAAAAATATTAAAACGATAATTAATGCTAAAATTATCATTTGCCAACACGAAGATCTCCATAAATTTCCCTAGCTAAAATTTAAAGTGAGATCTATATTGATAAAATTGAATTTATGTAAAATAATTAATAAGATATCATTTTATTCCCTCTCTCTAAAAACTTCAGGCCTAAATTATAATTTATGTATCAAACAGACCTTATCTCCAAACCTGATATCCAATTTCCTTTATTTTTATTTTTATTTTATTACTATTACTTTCATTAGGAAACTATCGACATCAATACAACACCATTATGGGACAAAATGTTGTACTTAAGATAAGATTCGTTAATTAAATGAAAAAAAAAAACAAAACTTTTGATGATGGTTGGCGAGGACTCCAAATTAATACTCAGGAG